CAGAGGTTGAATCTGGAACCTTCTGCGCACAAGCTCTACCACTCAGCTATGGGCATTCCCCAAGAATTGCGGGATACACCAGAAGCCTTTCTACTTGGAATAATAGGACTGGAATTGCCCCCAAAAGATGTTAGATTGTTTTTGTATGCCACTACAGCGGCAAGACTTTTATTAGCCAAAAATTTGAAATCGCAAGAAATACCAACAATAGAAGAATGGCAGATGAAGATGATGGATTTTTTGGAGGTGGCCGACCTGACTGGGAGAATCCGTGACCAGAAAGAAGAGGGGACACAAGAGAATGGGAAGAAATTCAAAGAATCTTTAACTAAATATTGTAATATAAGATAAATAGAAAATTATTGGAAGGAACAAATAGGCCTAGGGGTAGAATAAGAATAGGTGGTAGTAAATATTAAGGATTAGAATAAGAATAAAGGAGAAGAGGTTAGTTAATGAATAGAGTTGATATTATTAGAAATATGAAGTTGGAGAACTGTTATACAGGTGATATAATGAAATTCAGATAGAGGGGATTTGAGGAAGTCAGTTATCAATGTAATGAAATTATGGATGTGAAGTAATAATTCTCTCCTTTTTTACTGTATGTTTTGTTATGTTTTGTAATGTTTTCTTTTTCTTTCTGTGATAATTGTGAAAATCAATTTAAAAAATTGGGGGGGAAAGAATTGCGGGATACAATAGACACTCAGGTTGCAAACGTGATCCGTGTGGCATGCACATTCGCAACCCCCAGTGTTTGCAACCCGCAGTGGTGCATCTGCACATGCGCGGGTTGCGATTTAGCGCTTCTGTACATGTGCGACTGCCAAAACCCGGAAGTAACCTGTTCTGGTACTTCCGGATTTTGGCGGTTCCGTAACCCAAAAAAACACAACCTGAAGAGTCTGTAACCCGAGGTATGACTGTACTTTGGCCGTGCAATTCAGAGACAGATGCACTGTGTGCTCTAGCAACAATACCTTCCTGGGAATGCACGCAACACCAGTCGTCGACAACTGTGGCGAGCAAGGGGGTCCGTGGTGAGCACTACCTGTGAGCCAGCCATGCCTCGTTAAACTCAGAGCGATCAAGACTTGAGTTGGAAGTGGTCCTGTTTGCTGCCACACACTGCGTGTTCGCTGAATTCACTCTTACAGTAAAATAGACTTTGTGGCTGCTTTTCATCAGCGCCTTGTGCTCTTTGGTGTTTGCTTGTGGTGTAGTAGTGACAGATCCCCTGTGATAGATGGCTTTGAGGTTCGGCTGCAGACCTCAGTAAAATCAAACAGCATCGCTATTTGTGTGTGGTGGGGGGGTTATTTCCCCCCTCTCCTCCCCTTTTCAAGGAAAGAACGTCAAATTTTTATAGAGCTCCAAAATGCACAGGAATCCGTTTATATTAAAAATGCAGCATAATTGCCTAATTACAGTATTTGCATCATGCTACACAGATTGGCTGGGTTATTTCAAATTGTTTTAGAGTCAGAATGGCAGCGGGCCTGCAGTCTTCCTAAAGCGCTCAGCACATGTGCGGTTGCATAATGAAACATCGCAAATTTTACCCTGCAATTGTGCTTCCTTTAGCCTCGCCTAAGTGCTACATTAAGAGCATCAGATTACCAAATTTACCCAAAACACTTACAAATACAGAACTAACTCCCCACCATCGCCGCCACATCGCACCGCTGCCAACTCTCATCCACAAATTAAGTCCCTAAAGATACTTTTTTAAAAAATCATTAACTGCACTGAAGCAATAAATATTTTCTTTTTTCCAGTTCCTCAACCGTTTTGCATGAGGAGGTGGCTAAGTTTTATCAGTTAATTTACACCAGTATTGTCTCTTGTGTAAGTAGGCAATGCAAACACTTGTCTTTTATTTCATTGCTTTGAAAGCTGCTTTTCCTGACACAGAGACAGAGAGATGGACAGGCACATACACACACACACACACACACACACACACACACACACGACAGAGTGATCACTACAACACAAATTGGGCATCAGAGATGAAGCCCAGACTTCTTTGCTATCATCCCTGATTGCCCTGTGGGATGAGAAGTGGCCAATTTAAAGCATGAATATAGTCTGGGGATACATGAATCGTGAATCAAATTTCATGTATGGAAAGGAACAATCGTTCAGAAAGGCAGAAAAAGCAGTCATCTGCTTTTTAAAGTTGGAAGGGAAGTCTGCAATAGACAACAACAAGGAGATATATTAAAATACCTGGAGTATAGTACCTGGACTCTATATATATATATATATATATATGGTCTTTGCTTCTGGCTTTCCTTTTTGTTTTGTTTTTTAATTGGGCTGGAAAGGGTTACTTCATTATGCAGCAAATTAGAAAATTCATAATTTATCATTGCACCCAGTCGAAATGCCACCCAACTGAGTCGCACCCCTGCGAAAACCATCACATAGTAACAAACTGTCAAAGTCTGCTGCAGCCGACGGGCAAAATTAATATGCAAATGTATGCAAGAAATTAAAAAGCAGAATTACCCAGGCAAATGAGGTAGCTATACTTGAATTGTTAGAATTATGAATAATTACTGCGAATTTTCTGCTCCTAATATAACTTGTTTTTTGATAAACAAAGACTTAATTATCGAGATGCGCTGGAGAATTTCCGTGGCGCTCATTAATCTTGCAAAAAAAAAAAAAAAACCCAAGTCCCTGGTGCCCAAACCGTAATGAAGAGCGCGTGCCCTGAATCTTCAGAAAGATCAGAGGCACCAGGATGCCAGGGCTGGAGAAAGAAAAAAAAAAGACAGTGCCAATGTCCCCTCTTGTACCCTGGAGTGTCATAACGTCTTCCACTAACTATCAAAGGGACTTATTTATGCCAGCAGCTGAGCTATAAGTCCAATTTATGATGCCTTGAGCAGTGGTGAATTGATCTGTTGATGTGCTATGGAAATGCCATCTTGCGGTGGTTCAGCCTGGTCCCAGGGATACCAACTTGACAAAGGAGAGGCCTCCACTCCACGGCTAATGGATGCCACATGACAGACCACAATACCCAAGAGGGACAATCTTTTAGGACCAGTCTCAATGGTCGTCCATTAATCTTGGTTCTGCAGTGCTCTGGTGTCCATGGGAACAAGGGCATTATCATAAACACTGATTTTAAATTTCCCCATTAGGGACTGCAAGACAGACAAGAGTTGCTTGGGGTGATGAGCCTGGAAGCAGGGGTGGATGGGGGGTGGGACAAGAGAATGGCCACTGTTAGCTTGTAGATATATGGGAGCCAGCCTCACCCAGGAGTGGGTGGTATAGGCAATATTCCCCCCTCCCCTGCCAAGATATCACATAGGGCCAACAAAGAAGGAAATAGCTCTAAGTGTGTCTGTGGAACGGTGGCTGTTCCTTTCCTCTGTTTTTGCAGAGAGAGAGAGAGAGAGAGAGAGAGAGAAGGAAATCTGTCTGGCCCTGCCGGGTTGAGATAATTTACCATAAGAAAGCAAAAAAGGGAAAATAACCCCAGGTACTCTCCATGCAGACCAAATCGAACCTGCTGTGAGCTTATTATTACTTAAAAACTGGCATGTAAGTGGAAATGACTGACTCCCTGTCATTATCCCTATTTACCAGGATGATAAACCCCGAGCAGATGAGAAGGCAAAATTACAAAACATCAGTTCTGGCGCTCAGAGGCTACTTCAAGGAGCTCGAGGCAGGCTGTGTTTTCTAAAGCATCCTCTCTGAATTCAAGTCCCCAAATTTCCTGATGCCTTGACAGGACCATTTGGCTGCATAGACAAATTGTCACCTTTTAAACCAGGAAATCTCTCTCTCTCTCTCTCTCCCTCTAACACAAAACTCTACCACTTTCTCCCCCTAATCCTCCCATTTCTCTACATGCACAGAAAAGAGACAGTAGCAGAATATTTGAAAATATTTCCTCTTGCCGCCTGGTCTACATACTTAAATATGGATGTGGGAAGCTGATACCTTGATACATGGAGGACAGGGTGGTGGCGAATGTGGAATGGCTTTTCACTCTGATCCAAATTATGTATCTTTGGAACTTCCCTTTCCTGGATGTTGTTTTAATGCAGAAATAGGAGAGGCTATGCTTCGGCCCCACCTCTTGGTCCAACTCTATGCAAGTTTACTCGGAAGTAGGCACTGCTGAATGCATTAGGAGTCACCACTATAATAATAATAATAATAATAATAATAATAATAATAATTTATTATTTGTACCCCACCCATCTGGCTGGGTTTCCCCAGCCACTCTGGGAGGCTTCCAACAAAGATGAAAAATACACTAAAATGTCACATATTAAAAACTTCCCTGAACAGGGCTGCCTTCAGATGTCTTCTGAATGTCAGGTAGTTGTTTATCGCTTTGACATCTGATGGGAGGGCGTTCCACAGGGCGGGCGCCACTACCGAGAAGGCCCTCTGCCTGGTCCCCTGTAACTTGGCCTCTCGCAGTGAGGGAACCGCCAGAAGGCCCTCGGAGCTGGACCTCAGTGTCCAGGCAGAACGATGGGGGTGGAGACGCTCCTTCAGATATACTGGACCGAGGCCGTTTAGGGCTTTAAAGGTCAGCACCTACACTTTGAATTGTGCTCGGAAACGTACTGGGAGCCAATGTAGGTCTTTCAAGACCGGTGTTATATGGTCTCGGCGGCCGCTCCCAGTCACCAGTCTAGCTGCCGCATTCTGGATTATACAGATGATACTCTGAAACAAATGCTCTTTTCTGTGAGCCTGCAAAAAGAACCATTTGGGAAGCTCATTTGGATACCATTAGAACTCCGAAAACACAGCCCAAAATTTCCATTTCATTTTGAAGGAATAAAAAATAATAAAAACTACAGGATCAACGTTTCCCAACTATAGACCTAGCTGCCTGGGTGGGTGGCTCATTCTAAATCCACATATAGACTTGTAGCATTGGAAGGGATCTCCAGGGTCATCTAATCCAACCTCCATGCAATGCAGAATCCTGCCCACAGCCATCCCTGGGTGGGCTAAAACCACCTGGTATTCCCAGGCGTTCTCCCATCCAAGTACTAACCAGGCCTGACCCTGCTTAGCTTCCGAGATCAGAAGAGATTGGGCTTATTCAGGTTAGCTATGTGCACAGACATCCAGGGTCAAACTGGTTGTGAAAACAGCAGGCACTTCTATGCATCTGCACCCTTCTTTCTGAGGCTGTTTGTGCTTAAAGCACATGGCTCTCCTCCCACCCAGCCTAGGAACAGTAGGATTTTTTTTAAAGGCTGTTTGGAATTGTGGTTCTGTTCCCAGGATTCTTTGCAGGGAGCCCTGTGTTTATAGCCTGAATCATTGAAATCAACTGATTGCCTGCCTCCCCCAAAAAAGCTTCTCAACTTTGGCTGGGTTGCATCTAGTGGTGTGTGTGTGTGTGTGTGTGTGTGTGTGTGTGTGTTGGGGGGGACTTTTAATTTTCAGACAAACCAAAGTTCAGACAAACAACCAAAATTCAGTAAGTTCCCACCATCACCCGAAAAAGTCATTGAAGGAATTAATACTCAGTTAATTATTTTGATGTACATAGATGCTTATTATTTGTCTATTTGTAGTGCCCCCCAGGGTGGTTTAAACAATTTGAAATAGCACTATGTCACATATTGCAGATAGCAGTTAAAACCAGCAGCGTTAAAAGTTCATAAAGGTATTAGCCCAATGCCTGGATGATTTTTTTATTTTTATTTTTAAAATGTCACTACATGTTTTCAGAATGCAGGGAAAGGGCAGAGGGGGGAAGAGAGCTGCTTTATTCCCCTTGGGAGGCAGTTCCATAACTGGGGGACTGCCACCAAGAATGCCCTGCCTGTTCAGTCCTTGCCTGGGGGATGGCAGAAAACCAAACAGGGATGGAGGAGGAATTCCATTCAAACTGCGTTTGTAAAAGCAACCCTACCCAAATCATATTTTATGAAATCACACAAAAACTGGAACACAGCCATTCTTTGAAATTTGCAGTTTTCCAGATTGTGCAGTGCAGTTCTCCAGCCAAGCAACATATACAGAAATGCATAGATTGTGATAATGTGTGACTAAAAAGCACTGCATTAGTGCAAATTACATGCAAAAATGCATTACATTAGACAAAACTACTTTGTGCAATTTTGTGCATTGGTCAGTACCGCATGCATGCAAACCTGTTTATATCGGGAGAAATTCACACTAAAATGCTGATTCTTTTTCATGAGGACTTTCCCTTTTTAGCAAGAAAGAATAAATGTGGAGAACTGAACTTAAGATTTGAAAAATAAGAAACTGAGAGGAAGTGAAATGGGCAGATTCGCAAGCCCCTCAAAGCCAAAGGCAATGGGGTGGTCATAAGAGATATTTGATCAGACCGAAAAGTGTAGGAGCAATAACAGAATAATAGAATTGTAGAGTAGGAAGGGACCATGAGGGTCATCTAGTCCAACCCCCTGCAATGCAGGAATCTTTTATCCAACGTGGGAGTCAAACCCAAGACCCTGAGATTCGGAGTCTCATGCTCCACCGACTAAGCCAGGCATGGCCAAACTTGGCCCTCCAGCTGTTTTGGGACTACAATCCCCATCATCCCTGACCACTGGTCCTATTAGCTAGGGATGATGGGAGTTGTAGTCCCAAAACAGCTGGAGGGCCAAGTTTGGCTATGCCTGGACTAAGCTATCCACCACCCCTTTCCTGCCTCGAATGGATAAATATCTCTTTTGACTGCCCTATTTCTTTTTTGCTTCTCCTCTAGTTTCTTTTTTGGGGGGGGGGGGGTTCCTAGATTTGTTGCATCCCGTCTGAGAGATGCCAACTTACAGCCCGGTCCAAGTTATGCTTTCTGCCCTAATGATGCTAATGGGAGAGTTAAGCACCGCCAAGATTTAAGCACCTATACTGCTGCATATGCCTCTCTCCTATTGACATCAAAGGGATTTAGAAGTACTTAACTGGATCACTCCTACTGCGATTGCAGGAGGGGGGGACCGGCAGGGGAGGGAGAGAGCCCTCAAACATGGCTCTTTTGTTGTCACATTCCTCCATTGTATCGAGTGGCGTATTATTCTGCTGGCAGAGACTGAAAACTGTATTTTTCCGAAGCACTGGTGTGCCTACCTTGTTCTTACATCTGAAATGGCATTACCTTGTCATGCGCGTACATTGATCTAGTTTGACTGTCATCCTCCCCCTTCCATTATTTAGGGTTATTACTTTTTTGTTATTATTTTTCACTCAACTCTGTAATTACTCTTAACTTTCAAGTTTATTTTGATCTCTTTGTTCATGGATTTAGGCTCCCCTCCCCCCCTTCTTTCTCTTTGACAAAAGCATGTGGCTGTTGAGAATACAGCCATAATCATGCCTAATATTGTTCAATTAACAGTCACTCATTTGTGACTATTAATTTGGTTTTCCTTTGAACCTCTTAATGCATGTGGATGTAACAAAGCGTTGCCAATCTGATTTTTTTTAAGGGTTCTCCCACTTTAGTTTTCCCCAAAAGAAAGTTGCTACTTGCCTCTTAGTTAAAGAATCCTTAAATTGTACCTGCAACAGGGATCCGACCTTAGTGGAGAGGTGAAAGCAGGCACCCAACTGGCATAAAACACCACAATTTTATTGATAGCAGCTTAGAACGTGATAGCAGCTTACTACTATTTAACTTTAAGAATTGCTCCAGGGTGGTTTTTGTTGTCCTCTTCCCAACCCACCCATTTTTCCTTTTGTGCCATGTCTTTTGGAAAAGTAAGTCTGCAGGCAAAAATTGTCTTGTTTTGTATTGATTGCGTGTAAGCCACTCTGAAAATCTTTTTAGCTGAAGAACGGGGTGAAAATGCTGGAAATAAATTAAACACAGTGCTTCTCGACATAGGAAGGGAAAGGTTATCCGGGTATGAGAGCCCAACAGTGATGAACTGCTGGAGGGATGGCTGGGGACAAAGCCTATGTTAAGGCAGTGAACACCCCTACCCAAAGTCAATCCCAAAACCGAGGTGGCCCCTTCTATCCCAAATCCCTAGCTCCCATAACCATTGCCACCCCATGAAGGCGTGTCAGGCACAGCCAAACATCCCATAATGAGCTGTTGCAACAGACAGCACATATGGTAGAAAAGCATACAGTGTAGCTTTTAGGGCTGTGTGTTCAGTCCAAACAAATCCCAGATCCTGAGGCATCATCAGGTTGGCCAAGGGGAGGTTAGACCCACCTAGAGCAATCCAGGGCTATCACAAAGGAGCAAGGGGAGAAGGGGTGTGTGTGTGTGTGTGTGTGTGTGAGAGAGAGAGAGAGAGAGAGAGAGAGAGAGAGAGATTTCTCTGATGGAGACTGAGACTGTCTTGCTCTGGGCTAGAATCAAAAATTGTGACTTGGGCTTCTTTGAAACCCTAATGGGAAGCAAGCATGGAGGGTTCATGCTATGAGTCCCTTCATCCTATGCTCAGTTATAGATGCATATATACAACCATATAAGGGACACGGTGGTGCTGTGGTCTAAACCACTGAGCCTCTTGTTCTTGCCGATCGGAAGGCCAGCAGTTTGAATCCACGTGACAGAGTGAGCTCCCATTGCTCTGTCCCAGCTCCTGCCAACCTAGCAGTTGAAAAGCATACCAGCTGGAGTAGATAAATAGGTACCCCTGCAGCAGGAAGGTGAACAGCGTTTCCATGAACTCTGGCTTCCACCACAGTGTTCCATTGCACCAGAAGTGGCTTAGTCATGCTGGCCACATGACCCAGAAAGTTGTCTGTGGACAAACACCGGCTCCCTCGGCCTAACCCTAACCCCATAGTCAAATTCAACTGGACTTAACCATCCAGGGGTCCTTTACAGCCCTACTTCCTAAAGATACCACAGTCTCAATTGATCTTCACACTAACTGAACTCTGGGAAAGCTCAAGAACCTCATCCTGTTCAGAGACTGGCGTGTGTGCAACAAAAGTCTTATACCATAGCCTTTCCCCCAGAGAAGACAATATATACTTTCACACCCTCATTTTCACTTGTACACATCAAAAATAGAATACACATACACGACAAATGCAAGTTTGCAAACACATGTACTTTACAGACAAAAAGACTAAGCAGCCAGGATTGGCTGCGGTTATGCATAATTGGGGAAGCAAACATATATTTTCAAACGCATAGTGTGCGAAAACAGCTCTAAATGAATATCTAGCGCAGGCACAAGAAACCCAACCCTGTCCCAATGCTGGACTGGAAAAATGCAAAACTAACTTTCTAAGTAGTGCAGTTAAAGTCTGCAGAGTTGCTCAGATATCCGGAACGTGGAGTGGCTGCAATTTTTGTTTTTATTTTATTTTTTTGTTCTGCAAGTGAGGCTCAACCATACGCACCAATCGTACAGGCAAATGAAAGAGTAACATAAAAGCGCACAGACAGCAACAGCAACACATGATCCCCTTGGTGCCATAGCTAGAGGCTTAATGAAAATATATCTACAAGATACAAAACCACTTTAAAACAATTTTGCACCATTAATCACCTCTTTAATACCAAGTCTTATCTTATTAATTCCAGTCTAACTAAATGGAATTGCAAAGGTTTCCAGAGATTTCTTTTGTTAGATGCAGGTTGGAAAATCATTATATACAATTTGAACTTCTGCCTCTCACTCCGTATCGTGGATTCTTTTGGGCCAGGACAACTTAGGGATCTTCAAGTGGTTCCTCTTCTTTCCAATCTTCTTCTTCTTTTTTTTTAAATCAGTATTACACTTCAGAATGTATTGAGAGAGCAAATTAAATAATACGCATAGCTTTAATTTGTCTCTGATTTGGATTCTGCAGGCACAAATCTGCCTTGGCTATCATCGTTATCATATTGTTTTATTACGACTCTTAAAATTAAAATCCATTCTTGTCTTTAAATGTTTTATTGTACTTGTCGTTCTTGTTTTGCATTGCGGGATCCGTGATTAATTTTGCCCGCCAAGTGCATATGGCTACCTGGCTATCATCCATTATCTTCATCACTGTTGCTTCAAAATGAGCACTTTATTATTACCTCTTTTTTTCCTCCAGCTTTTCAATTACCAGATGTGCTCTCACATTTCTCCACTCTGGAGGCATCTCCCTAGACTTAGACTTAAGGAACGTGCACAAAACGCCCAATGTAAGTGAGCGAGGTCAAGGGGACCAACTTATCCAAAGAGGATAGCACAACAATGAAATCCAGAACAGCTATTTCAATACATTTAGTGGCTGTGGGAACAACATGAAAATGAACTGGAGTTGCTAAATAGTTAGACTTTGGGGTTCTGTCTGTCTGCTGCAGGAGTAGCCAACATGGTGTTTTCCTGGCATTTTGGACACCTCCCGGCATTGCCAAACATCACAGTCAATGGTCAGTCCTTTGGCCTGATGTTGGAGGGGTGTGTGTGTGCGTGTTCTTAGATATTCTTCACTGTGTGGTAATATGAAATCGGGTCCTCCCTTAAAGAGGGCACATATTGCGGTGAGACCTGGAAACCGACATCCTGTGTTGTGGGTGGGTATGATTGGTCAGCCACAACACCCGATTGGCAGGTCCCTCGTTGCTGGGTGCAATCTGGCCAATGGGACGCAGTCTAAACGCTTTGAGGGACCTATTTATGCGCACGAATGTGACCCAGATCTTCCTCTTTTGGCACGTGCATTCGGAGCACCCGCCCACCTCTCCCTACTTTTAGGGGTTTGCGCTTGACCTTGCTATGCCGTCTTCTGTCGTCTGTCGTTGGGACAGGGGCACGGCAGGAATTTCCCGCTTGGCTGATTGGCTGTTGCCATTTGGGTTTTGTCTGCCGCATAGCAAATCGTCGCAACTTGTAAGGTTGCGGATAGGCTCTGGTTCAGGTGATAGGGATGGGAGAATGGTCTCGCCATCCCTATGTGAAGGATGTTCCATTAAAGGAATCCAGGGACTCGATGGTTTCGTCAACCCCTGAGAGGGGGTTGTGCCCGTGCCTGAGTCCAGGGGGAAATTTGGGTGGCGGAGATAGCCTCTTCCCAGTTTTCCACTTATCCAGGTGTTCACCCTTGGCTGACCTATGCTGGAACCCTGGGTCAGCGCTACCTGCATGGCAGGGAGCTAGTCGAACCAGAGCCTATGCAACCAGTCACTTTCTGTAATCAATAAATTTGTGGCCTAAATTCTGCCAAAAACCAAAACCAAAATTTGAGTCAAGTGTGAATTCATTTAGGAGGGAGGTTCTGGGTCTGAACATGCAAATAACTTCTCACATCCACCTCCTACGTCAGGCTTAAAAACTAAAATTCTCACTCCACTCCCTTCCACCACATTTGTCAAAAACCTGTCCTGGTATGGGTACAACATGTTGTCAGGTGGGGCCAGGCAGCCAGGCCATTGTGCTCACCCCATTCCCATCATGCCAAGTGCAGCAGAACCGTTGCCAGGAGAGTTGCCGCGTCTGCTCATCCGACATACCCTCCAACTGCCCCCAAAATACCAGGATCGTTACGAAAACCCTTACATCTTAAGCCATCGCAGCTTCTCACTTTTTCACACAGCGTCCCGAATTCCCAAGGGGCCTTCCCTTTGGTATAGCCTTTTGACGTGTTAGTGAAAGTTCAGATCCATGCATCCCTGTAACACATTTCTAGGCCTCCTGCTCCCTTTCCCCCTCGTGCAATATGAAAACAAGCAAGTTTTTTGGTCAGTTTCTCATAGAGGGAAGGGGGCAGGGCCTGTCTGTGAGGGGTGCTGAGGCATTTCAGGCAGTGAAGAGAGGCCATTACAATCACTTGGCTCTGGCTTGCTTTGTTTGGCTGCTACATCTGTGTTCGTGTTCCAGCCTCTGAGGGGGAAGAGTGAAATAGGGGAGACAATGATGTAGAATATGTCCCTATTTTCATCTGAGGGATGTTGGAGGGTAGGATCCCACCACCCCATTCACCATTGCTGCTGGGAGTGACAGTGATATTTCCCTCTGATTATTTTGAACCACCACCAAGAAAATGTTTGTTGCTGTTTTTTAAGAGTCAGCCCAGAATGACATGTTTTGTCTTTTTTGAAACAGGAATAAAAATAAGGCTGCTCTCTTCAGCTGCATATATAAAAAATTAGGCTGCTCTCTTCAGAGATAGATAGATAGATAGATAGATAGATAGATAGATAGATAGCCTGCTGCCTTTGGCTGCATACACACCGAAAGTTTAATGTGCACATGACGTCCCCAAGGAATCCTGGGAACTACGGTCTACCCTTCAGAAATCTATAGTTCCTCGCACGCTTAACAAAAAGCATTTCCCAGGATTCTTTGGGGGAAGTCACATGCTTTGAATGTGCTTTCCATATATGTTGTGCACTCAGCTTTCTACTCTCCCATGGGCTTTGGCTATAGATGGAACAGGACATTACTTTTACCTCGGGAGGCAGGAGAATAAAAAGGTCAACCATTTTGGAATCCGTCAGGGTTCTTTTTAGACTGACATGCCCTCTACTCTTCCACCTTACAGTAGAAGAACAACGTCTATATTAATGGCTACTGGCCCTCTAAGTTCAGAGGCAGTGAGCTACTGGATGCCAACTGCTGGTGAGCAATGACAGGAGAGGGGTCTGGCCTTCGTGACCTGCTTGTGGGTTTCTCAGAGAAACATCAGATTGGTCACTGTGGGGAAAAGAATGCTAGATTAGTTAGGCCTCTGGTCTGATCCGTCAGGGCTCTTCTTATGTTCCTAATCTGTCCCTCACCGCTAAGCTGAAGCCACAGGGGGTTGACTCTACTAACTGAGCTAAATTAATGCTGAAGGTGACAGATCACTTTGGCTTATGAAGTACCCGAAAGCATGCTAATTTCATGCAATATTCAGAAGCAGGTTGGATCTCAGCATTTGCTTACCGCTCTGAAACAAGCCCCCCAAATCCAGACCTTGTGAGACTTTGCTTGTCTTCTGCTTGGAAAGGTTAGATGTTGCGCGACAATGATGCGCAATGGCATGGTGGACTTGACTGAGTAAATCTAGCCTGACATTGTTATTTTCCATTTCTGTCAGGGACAAATGACTACCTGCGAAGTGGACATCTCTTCACCCACCTTCCTCTTCCTGCTATCCCCCTTCACTTCTATGTCTTTCTGCCTGACACACATGCAAGCCCAAACATTGTGCCAACCCCCAAAAAATCTCCTGGGTTTTTATTCATTCTCCAACAATTAACAAGAATAATGTACAGTGGTACCTCGGGTTAAGTACTTAATTCGTTCCGGAGGTCCGTTCTTAACCTGAAACTGTTCTTAACCTGAAGCACCACTTTAGCTAATGGGGCCTCCCGCTGCCGCCGCGCTGCCGGAGCATGATTTCTGTTCTCATCCTGAAGCAAAGTTCTTTACCTGAAGCACTATTTCTGGGTTAGTGGAGTCTGTAACCTGAAGCGTATGTAACCTGAGGCGTATGCAACCCGAGGTACCATTGTATTGCGGACAGAAATTATCGAAAGGGGAGAGACAGAAAAAAACCCCAATGAAATTCTCATAGGTGGAGTTAGGTTTAATGAGGCTGAGGGGTACACTGGCTGAGACCCTACCTGCCCGTGAACTGTCCTGTCAGAGTGGTGCATGCTCTAGTTATCTCCTGCTTGGACTACTGCAACACGCTCTACGTGGGGCTACCTTGGAAGGTGACTTGGAAACTACAACTAATCCAGAATACGGCAGCTAGACTGGTGACTGGGAGCGGCCACCAAGACCATATAACACAGGTCCTGAAAGACCTACAGTGCCTCCCGGTACATTTCCAAGCACAATTCAAAGTGTTGGTGCTGACATTTAAAGCCCTAAACGGCCTCGGCCCAGTATACCTGAAGGAGCATCTCCACCCCCATCGTTCAGCCACTTCTGGGGGTCTTCTGGCAGTTCCCTCCCTGCGAGACCAGGCAGAGGGCCTTCTCGGTAGTGGTGCCCACCTTGTGGCATGCCCTCCCATCAGATGTCAAGGAAATAAACAACCATCTGACTTTAGAAGACATCTGAAGGCAGCCCTGTTTAGGGAAGTTTTTTAATGTCTGATGTTTTATCGTGTTTTTAATATTCTGTTGGGAGCCGCCCAGAGTGGCTGGGGAAACTCAACCAGATGGGCGGGGTATAAAGAAATTATTATTATTATTATTATTATTATTATTATTATTACTACTACTACTATTACTACTACTACTATAAGTGTCCTTTCCTTCATCCTGCAGATCATTTCACCTGTGGCCTGCACTCTGCAGCCTTCCCAGGTTCCTGCTCTTCAGTTAAAGCCTAGGGAAATATATCAAGAGTTAACCTCTCCTTTTTCAGTTCAGGAAGCCCAGGCAACCAAGGAGGCTGCAAGCATGCGGGAAAAACTCAACCTAGGAGGCACAAGATTTAGATAATGGGAGATTGGAGAAGGAGGGTATGAAATTGAGAGAGGGACAGCGACTCTTTTCATGGCTACCAAACTGTTCCCAAATTTATAAGCATCTCCCCCTACGCACACTGTTTGTTTTCCTAAATTAAAAGATTTCAAATGCTTTACTCTTTCCATGAGTATTCCATTCTGATTATCCTTTTGGGAACTGAGTCAGATATATCCTTGTTTTCTGGAGGGAGCCCCCCAAAATGGGGAGAAGGGTGGTTGGAGGGGAGGGATTGTTGGATGGAAAATGAGAGGGGGGGATGCAGAGGAGGCACACCAGGGGAGGAAGCGGAGGGAGCCAGAGAGAGAGAGAGAGAGAGAGAGAGAGATGTCCAGGATTTTATGGACGTATGGCAGCCCTAATAGAACATTAACACATTTTCCTACAACATACAATAAACAGCTCCCCCATAACAGTCATGGGAAGCATTGGCAGCACACTAATAACAGAATTTGTTTGGTTCAGTAAGAGAGGGGGTTAAGGCTTGACCTGCTGCTGAAAAGATGTCTGTGAAGACTCCAGGCAGACCTCATTGGGGAGAGCATTTCACAGATAGAGAGCCACAACAGAGAGCCTTCCCAGTTGTCATTTGTTCATCCCACACTTTTCAATGCATTTCCCCATTGCTTTCCAGTGTGCCAAGATGTGTACATTTCCCAAATCCCATTGGGAAATAATGGCCAGAGAGTGTACAAAATTCAGTCAATAAATGCACATTCCCCAAGGCTACAAAGTTCCCTCTTCATGGAAGGATTGTATGCACATTCTCTACAAGGCTTGGTGAAAGTATACAGTGGCTGGTTATTATGCACAATATCCACTCAACTTATAGTCCCCTTGCCATACATGCATACAAACACAAGAGAGGTCTGTATGAAAAGCTATCGATCCAAGCTGCTTTATTTTTATAGCACCATTAGGTAGCATTAAATCACAAGATCACTGGAAAGACCATAATGCACAAACTGCTTTTCTTTTCAGTTTATGAGATGAGTATTTCAAAGTACTCATACATTATTGTTAATTGTAATAAGTTTGAATAAAACTTGAGAAAAGAGCTATCCCGTATCCGAAAGGAAAATATTTCCACAGTAGAGTTGGTAGCCAGAAGTCTCTCTCCACAGCTTTGTGAAAAGGTAGAGATTATTTTATTTCTTTAAGCTTTTTATTAGCCACTCTTCAGCCCAAGCTCTCCTGGTGGCTTACAAAATCTAACAATGAAAACCTCAATTAATAAAACAAATATCATAAATAAACCACAGTTAAACAAAAGAAATGTAACCTGCCCCGTGAGAGGGGAAGGAAGCAAACCTACTTATCCAGCCATTGCTTCATCTACAACACTGTCAGCAAGTACCATATTTTTCACTCTATAAGACGCACCAGACCTCAAGACGCACCTAGTTTTTGGAGGAGGAAAACAAGGAAAAAAATATTCTGAATCTCAGAAGCCAGAACAGCAAGAGGGATCACTGCTCAGTGAAAGCAGCAATCCCTCTTGCTGTTCTGGCTTCTGGGATAGCTGCGCAGCCTGCATTCACTCCACAAGATGCACACACATTTCCCCTTACTTTTTAGGAGGGGAAAAGTGAGTCTTATAGAGCAAAAAATACGGTAAATCTCTCCCGTGCCCCCGGCTGCTGCCATTAAACTACCCTTTAACCTCTGGAATTATCTAGAACAGGGATGTCCAACTCCCAAGAGGCTGCGATCTACTCACAGGAAAAAAAAACTGGCAGTGATCTACCCCTTTTTTGGGGGGGGGTGTTTCAGGTCAAAGTTGCTGAGCTTTTCTTAAGGAGGTATGTTTACCTTTTTAGAGGGGCAGGTCAAAAATGTTCATCCTTCTTTAGGGGGAAAATGGGAAAGTCGCTCACCAAAAGATTGATCAGGAAACAAACAGTGAAAATTCTGTCTTCCGTTCTAGCGGTCATGCACAAATGGAGGACGGAGCGACGGGGCGGGGGCAGATCCTCCTTTTCCCCTGCAAAGGAAAAAGAGCCCATGATCAACCACGATCGACCCTAATCTCCCAGGGATCGCGGTCGACCGGTTGGACATCCCTGCTCTAGAACAACAGTGATTAGAGTGCTGGGTAGAAGCAGCTCGAGGGATGAGGGAAGAGCTGTTCTGCTAACTTCCTGTCAGGCTGGTCTCTGCTGCTTTACCGGGAGGGAGAGGGGCAGGACAAGGCACTGGGGAGGTTGGCGTGGTGCAAACACACTAGCAGGATCCAGTGGCAAAGCTGTATGTTCCACGAGAGCCAGTGTGGTGTAGTGGTTAAGAGCAGTGGACTCGTAATCTGGTGAACCGGGTTCGATTCCCCGCTCCTCCACATGCAGCTGCTGGGTGACTTTGGGACAGTCACACTTCTCTGAAGTCTCTCAGCCTCACTCACCTCACAGAGTGTTTGTTGTGGGGGAGGAAGGGAAAGGAGATTGTTAGCCGCTTTGAGACTCCTTAGGGCAGTGATGGTGCACATCCCAGAGGCATGGCACACCACCCGCGAGGGCGTAGCGAGGACGTGGTGCCCGGTGCATGGGGGGTGCATGGTGTGTGTCCGGGGAGGGGGGGCTGCCGTGATGGTACCCTACCGGAATAGTGGTGCCGGGGGCGGTCTGCTCCCTCTGCACTCCCATTCTTCTGCCAGTGGCAGGAGCACCAAAATGGCTCCAGCATTTGGAAACCTCCCTGATGTCCATCCCTCGCCCCCTGCTGGTAGGCAACCAGGACCCACTTGTGGGAAGTTAGTGTAGCAACTCCTCCCCACCCAGCAAACCGCTACTGCTGTTGAGGTAAAATCCAGGAGACTCGGGTTCAAATCTCAACGCAGCCATGAAGTTCACTGGTTGGCCTTGAGGCAGCTACTACCTCCTTAACCTACCTCACAGGGTTATTGTGAGAATAAAATGGAGAACCACACACACTGCCTTGAGCTCTTTGGAGGAAGGGCAGGATATCAAAGCAGTTAGTAAATAAACTCTCTGTGCTGGGTAGTTAGGTATAGGGTGCATAGCAAGGCCTCAAATCTGTTGGTAGAGCACGAGACTCTGAATCTCAAGGTTATGGGTTCAAGCCCCATGTTGGGCAAAAAGATTCCTGCATTTCATGGTGTTTGGACTAGATGAGCCTTGTGGGGGTCAGCTCTACGCTGTTGTGATTCTGTGATTCTATTCCAAATAAAATTAAACCAAATCAGTGTTGTGTTGTAGCAACACTTTGGGGGAACTGTGGGAAATTGAAATGGCATCACCCAGAGTCCAGCAGTAAGACGTGTCGCTGCTGCCGCTCCTGCCTGAAGCCTACTGAGGTAGGATGGGGTCCCTAGAGAGCATCTGGCAAAGGCCCACTCAAACCTCTCTGAGAACAAAGAGAGTGGCTGGAGCCGCTAATGGCCGGAAAAGGGCTGGCAAGTGAGAAGGGTCAGCGCCATCTTTTTATATGCTAAAGAGGTAAGGCTCCCCAGCCCTGCTTTATATGCAAACAAGGTAGACACACGAGCGATCTGCAGTGAGGGGCAGGCACTTCTACGTTGCTAAAAAAAAGAATAAGAAAGCGTATGACCTGAAAAGGGGACATTTCCATATGCTAATTGATATGCAAAGATGCAAATTTGGAAACAAGTACTGTCATTTAAGCAGAAATACAATGCATCTTGTCCTAGAGAGAAGGACCAGGGGACCTGTGTATCCCTGCTCAGTCTGCTGACCGAGTGTTAAGCTGTGGATGGGCAACTTGGAGCCTCCTTCCTGCTCTCCCTTCTGAGGGTTTTTGAGCTTTAAACTGGACACGGACCAGGAAAACCTTCAAACAGAGTTCTTGAAATAGAGGGCTGTCCTCTGTACTGTAAGACATGCGGCCACATGATGAGCCATGGCTCCATCTCCTCTGGTTTGTCCCAAGTATTTGGAGTCCCATGGGACGCGAGTGGCTCTGTGGGTTAAACCACAGAGCCTAGGGCTTGCCGATCAGAAGGTCGGCGGTTCGAATCCCCACGACGGGGTGAGCTCCCGTTGCTCGGTCCCTGCTCCTGCCAACCTAGCAGTTCGAAAGCACGTCAAAGTGCAAGTAGATAAATAGGTACCGCTCTGGCAGGATGGTAAATGGCGTTTCTGTGCGCTGCTCTGGTTCGCCAGAAGCGGCTTAGTCATGCTGGCCACATGGCCCGGAAGCTGTAAGCTGGCTCCCTCGGCCAATAAAGCGAGATGAGCGCCGCAACCCCAGAGTCGGCCACGACTGGACCTAATGGTCAGGGGTCCCTTTACCTTTACTATCTGGAGTCCCCTGGTGTTCTTCGCTGCATAATTCTTCGGAGTGCCTTGCTGACTGGCTGCTCAGAATAGTTTCAGTGAAAGGGACTTGGTATCAGCACATTACTTTTAAAGGTTTTTATAGTGGCAGAGGCCTCGTGTGCCTTTGAGCATTTAAAACGGAGCAAAGTTAAATGATAAAGTGCACCTTTAACTTAATGACAGTAATTCAGTTTCAGATGGTGAGTGCTATTATACCCCCCCTTTAAGTCTAGACTCAGTCATAATTGAAATGACAATTATAATAATCCTCGTGTAATGAAGATTATTCTGAATGAAAGAAAGAAATCTTTTCGGATGGTGTGTGTGTGTGTTTTCCCATAACCTAAGTATAATGGCATCGTTCTCTATAGGTGAATAGACAAGTGTTTTGCTTGCCACTAAACTGCTGCAGTTTTGCTTTCCAGGTTCAGAAGCAGTCAGTGAGCATTCTTCCAACAAACATTTGGCCTCCAGGCCTGAGGTTCCCTACCGCTGCTTTTTATTTTTTATTTTTTTAAAAATCCAACATTAAGATTAGGGAAAAAAGAGGCAACTGCAGAAAAAGCAACAAATAAATAAATAAAACCCAAATTAACCTTTTCTGTGGTGGCTCCCCAACTGTGGAATGCTCCCCCCAGAGAGGCTCGCCTGGCCCCATCAATACATGTCTTTAGGCTCCAGACAAAAACATTCCTCTTTACTCAGGACTATATTTATTAAATAATCAATGGCCTGTTATAACTTGGGGGAGGGGGCTGTTGTTATTCTGATTATTTTATTATTATGCTGTCTTTTGTTATGCTTTTTATTATGCTTTTATTCTTGGTGCTCTGTAATGTGCTTTTAATGTTGGGAATCTTCTGATAAAAGGCAATATATAAATTGAATAAATAATAATAATAACCACCAAACATATAGGAAAATCAGATTGTTTTATTCTGGTGCCTAAAAGTAAACAAATTCAGTGCCAGTCACAGAAACAGCCCTTTCTTGGTCACAAGCAGAGAAGCACAGAAGGAGACCTTAAAACATAGGGACAGCATCAAGTGAGATGAGGCAGAGCCAATTTCATAAATGCGTATGCATCTGCAGCAGCACAACCGGATGCTTTCATCTGCCCCAGCTGCAACAAAACATGTCTCTCCCATATCAGTCTCTACAGCCTTGGCAGGCACCGTGACTCTTGCAACGGTTGGACTTCGCTCCCATTGTCTCCTGAGCAGTGCTGGATTTATGTCTAAGCTAAACAAGCTATAGCTTAGGGCCTCACTCTCTTGCCCCTCCCCATACAAAAATTCACTATTAATATACTACTTAATTGTATTTCAGTTCAACAATTACTTTGATAAAATACATATTTTGTTATGTGCAAATGGCTTTAGATACCTATTAGGTCCATAAATTACCATATAGAATATATTCAACACAAAAAACACCGACAATTTGTTGTTGAAAAAGGACAGCTGGACATATAAAGGGCCCCCTTACCTTCAGTAGCTTAGGGCCTCGTCATCAGATGCCAATGAAACCTGAAAACTGGCGAGTGGATGGTGCAAGTTGAGTTTCGCTTTCACAAATGCTTTTGAGAGCAGGACTCTTGTGAATCACGTGCCATGGTTTGGTGTAACATTGTGGAAGGTGTTCATGGGGTGAAGGAGGTACAGATTGGAACGGCTTTTTCTAGGCTGCATTTCATATGCAAGACCAGTGCTATTTTTCTAGAAAAAGAGGTGCTGGAACTCACTGTGAACACCCCCCCCCCTTGCTCTCTTATAATAGCAGTGGTGCACACCTGAGAGGTGCCAGAACTGAGTTCTGGTGAGTTCTGGCTGGGGGGAGGGAGTTTGGTGCAAGATGATATACACTATGACAGTTGGGCACGCTCTACACTGCAGGGGCATGCGTAATCATATCTCTGGCCATTTCGCTGCACCTTCTCTGATTAGGCACTGTCAAGATATGTGGTACGTGTTTTGCGTGTCAAGGTCCTCCAATCCACCCCCAAATGAGTCACACTTCACACATAATTTTGGTTTAAGGTTTTTGGCATAATTTTGGCCACAACTTTATTAAAATACATAAATGTGAGTAGTGCTTAGGCATTGGTTATGACTATCTGTCCCCATGCCTAGGGACAGAACTGACTTCTGGATTCCAGCGAAAGCCAGTAAGGGAAAACAATATTGGGGAGAGCATGGAGCCGGGCATCAGACCCTCACTCCTCCCCACATGTTCCCAGGGGCTTGCGCGGCCCTAAGCTCCCTTCAGGGGTATGGACGAAAGAATGGCAAGCCCCTGGATTCCTTTAACGGAATTCCCTTTCCGCAGCAGCATTGGAGGGGCAGGCACTGCCAATCCTTACCCCTCCACCAACCAATTTTTTAACCAGTGCCTAACCGCAACCTTACAAGTTGTGACGATTTGCTACTGTACCGTGTACGCTACCGTGTACGCAGTAGGCAAAAACCAAATGGCACCAGCCAATCAGCCGATTGGACAAAATTCCTACCAGGCCCCTGCCCCAAAAGCAGGCGACCCCATGACAGGCATAGCAAGGTCAACCAAGATTCCTAAAATTAGGGAGGGTGGGCAGGTGATCCGATGCACACAGCAAAAGTGCCTAGTCAGAGCTGTGTGACTTTTATAACTTTTCATAACCTTTGGTCCAACCCCCTAAATGGCAACACCAAAATTTGCCCAACAACCCAACCGCCCAAACACTGCAGATGGTCATCCAAACTAACCCGCCCAGCAACAGAGGGGTGGCCTTCCAGACCCCATCGCAACACGTGCTCTCTATTAATGAGAACACGCTTTGTGGGGTTTACAAAGAACAATATTACACATGATTCCCCCTCAATAATCTCATGCAGGAAAACCCTGTACACACCTTTTAATTATGAAACACGGCACAAGTAATTCACCCTGCTAGAGCCATGTGAGAGAAGAAGCCATGTACACAACGCCTGTTCGCCATGGGCTGATCCCATGTGTACTACCCTAAAAGCAGATTAAGAATTGGTTATTTCTTCTTCGGCCTGACCTAGTTCTAATAATTTGCCATTCAAAAGATGCAGAACTTAGATCTTGGCAGGAAGCTGTTACCATTCACTGTGAATGGTGGTTTAAAAGGACTGCTGTATGTAGTCAAATACATTGGCACAGTAGGGAGATGTGATCTTTTCTAAGGCTGTTATTCTAATCATTTCATCTAGTCCCTTGTCCCAATATAATATTCACTGGCACAAAGTTAATTTAATGCTCTCTCTTTTTTTTCGCGAGAAAAAAAAAGAAGACAAAAAAAAAATCCCAGTGATAGCACAAAAACCCTATTATAAAAGCAGAATGCATTGAACAGAGGCTTCTGGGAAGCCCTTCATCTCTTGTTAATTGTACACTGCATTTTGTGTCAGGAAGCTCTCGGTGGCAATGCACGGTTGCCTCTTCCCTTATTTTAATGCAATATTTAAGAACAGTTTGAGAACCGCCAGGGATAGTGGGCATTCTCCATAGAATCGCTGGAAGGAATTGCAATTAAATATAAGCCAACAGATTATATTAGGAAGCATTTCTCCCCTCCCCCCCTTTCCTTTCCTTTCCTTTCCTTTCCTTTCCTTTCCTTTCCTTTCCTTTTCCTTTTCCTTTTTTGCTTAGGGCTGGCGAAATTCCCATCATTGTGATGGGAAGACTGTATGTACCTAGAGACCTGGTGGGTTGAAGGGACCAGGGGCGGACTTTGGCTTCTCTATTCTCAGCGGCGGACTGTGTGAGGCCAAAATTTGGCAGGCACGCGCATGA